CCCCCCCCACCCCCAACATATTAAATGAACTTTCCCCAAGGTATACGCGTGCATCTTGCTATCGTTTCTCAGAATTCCTTTCCAACAGGGACTACTTACTTAACATATTCCATGCATTACTCACCATCTCGCATATCTTCAAAATACCTTTCCTGTCCTTCACATAAGCCTTATCAATCCCAGCCATCTTGGACACTGAAATCTAGTTTGAAAAAAAAACTACTGCAGTTGATCTATGTACAACAACAACAACATAAATAAATAAATAACAATAATAATAATGATGATGAGGATGATGTTGATGATGATGATGATGATGATAATGATAGTAATATAACATATTTTGACAGGATGGCCATTTCACTTAAAAACTGCTATCAATATGTGTCCTGTGTAAATAAATGTAATGAAATAGTATAAAATCATAAAGGATAAATATAAATATGTGAGTTGAGTTTGTTTAATGTGTTGTTCTCTCCCTTGCCACGAGGGTTTTCTCCGGGTTCTCCAGTTTCCTCACTCCATAAAAAGCAACATGTGAGTTGAGTGTTGTATGTTGAAAATATAGAATGTAGTGTTAGTGCGTTTGGTGGGAACCTCATGGAAGAGCCCCACATGGGGAGTGGTGGTTGTAAAATATAAGTTGATAAGCTTAAGTTTATAAAAAGCTAAAAATATAAAGACTGCAAGATACTGGAATTATATGCAATCATTAAGAATACTAGCTCCCTCATAAATATATATATCAGTGAAAAAAATATAATTTTGAACAAAAATACATACAAGTTTATCACATGTTAAGAGCTTGATATCGTTTTTAACGAGTTTCCAAATTAATATTGCGAACGAGCGAGTCTGTGAGCGAGTAAGCGATATCATATGGAAAACGAGTGAATAAGAAAGATATCAAGTTTTTAACTGGCAGTAATTTGTTTATTACACATTTAGGGTCGATAAAATGACAACATTTGTAGTTTCACTGATATGCTTTTTATTCACGGCTTTCTCACACGGATACCGACCCTAAATGTGGAACAAAAAGATAGACTAAATACTCCATTCACACCTAAACGTGTTTAGTTAAACTATGTTTTCATTAGGAAAAAAATTGAGAAACTAGAAACCTACAATATAATGAAACTTTCCAAAATATTATCAGAGCAAGACAAAGGATAGTTTACATGCATTATTTCACCAAATATTGTGCATTCACACCAATTCTTAAACATGTTTTAAAGTGATATAGCGTCTTTGTGAGGAGTAAAGAGATACTAACATAGGCAGAGAAGCAAGAGTCTACTAGCTATCGAAGGCTTTCACAGAAGCCATGGATGTTGTAAAGCAAAATCTTAGAAACTTTCTTCAGTCTTTTGCGAAACTAAAATCCTACAGTTTTCATGTAAAAACATTGTATTGTTCCAGCCCTAAAATATAGTTCTCGTAAAACCCCCCCTCTCCGCACGACTCCTTTGTCTTGTTACCTAGTGCACGTTTCTTGCAAAAAAACAACGTTTGAAAGCATTTTTTAGACTTGCAGTACAACAAGTTAGAAGACAGTCATGTAGGCTTCTTCATTCGGGAAATTTCTATCATGAAAAACCTCCGGTTTTTTATAATTATTTTTGATAATAATTCGAGGTTTTAATGTAATTTCTAACAAAAGGATATCTTAGTTAAAAGTTTGAGATAAATTAAATAAATTACAAAAAAAGCGAGGAATCAAAAATCCTTACCTTCTAAAATTGAAACCAAAAAAGAGCGATTTGACTTCCAATTTTGAACGTTAATACATATAATTGTGCTTTGTTGAATGATAATTTTCCACGATCAGAATTAATGAGAGTTGCATCTATTTGCTAAGAGCACTAGCTCAAAATTAACCAATCACAATCTTTCTTTCATTGGCGTTCTTGAAAGATGGAATAATATGATTGGTCAGTGGTGTCTGGGTTTAATCGAGCCTTGAGGGAGGCTGGTTACATTGAAATAATTACACGATTCAGTACACCAAGCCTTGGATTTTTTCTTGGTCAGTTTTAATGATTAGAAGTGGAAATAGTTGTCTTTGAAGCAACAAAAAGGCTGGCACTAACATTTCTGGTTGTACAGCATAAACACATGGAGGTCAACAATAAATAAACAAAAAACATTCTTAAAGTAAGCGTGCGTTTCCCCAGCAACCCTTTCCTGCAGTGCGAATTAGAATATGCTGAACTAATAAGACAATACTGCATCGATTGACTGCTGGACTGGGGTTTGTCGTTAAGAAATAGACCGTTTTGTAATTCGCAAGAAACTGCTGCGTTCCTTGTAGTTATTTTAAATATTCGTGACAAACTGTTAAAACTTTCACTCAAGAAAGGAAGTTTCGTTCAGTGAAGACGACCGTACAATGATGTCATGCGTCTGTTGCTGGGCGCTTCTGTCTAACTTATACCCACCCCTCACCTTGATCTGATCATTACCATCATCAGTCATCACCACCGTCATCATCACCATCATCACCATCATCACCAACCATCAACCATCGCCATTGCCATCACTATCGCAATCATCATCATCATCACTATCATCACCTTCATAACCTTCACTATCATTATCGCCATCAATTATACTCTTTACATGCATCATTATCATTACGACTACCATAATCATCATCATAATCACCATCACCTTCACCAACATTCTCATTGTCGTCATCTTCATCACAACATCATCTTCATCATCCTGTTCATCATCATCACCATCATCATCATCGCCATTATCACCATCATCACCATAATCGTCACCATAATCATCATCATAATCATTATCATCATCACCATCATCACCATAATCGTCACCATAATCATCATCATAATCAT